AAAAAATCTGTCTTGAATAGAGAGTTTTGAACCAAATTATATGGGAAAGAACTGATATCGATACTCTCACGGTCAACCTATTTTGAAAAAAAGCGGGTGGCTTGTTCTTCTTCTTCAAAGTAATCAAATTATTACCACTTGTTTTGTTTACCGACTGATGTGTAGTTAGTATAGACAGAAGTTAAACAGAAATACAGTTATTTTTGTCTTTTGCTCACAAAACATGCATCTCAATTTCATGCTGGTTATTAAGTTAAAAAGCGATAATGAAAAAAAAATTGCCGCTCTTGTGCCGCTCTTTCGTGTTGAAATGTTGACCTAAAATAGTTGCAGTAATTTTGGTTGGTGTTTATTGAGCGTGATGATAGAAAACAAATCAAGATAATACAACTTGAATCTAAGTTCCCCCTCGCGGAACAAGCACAGAGATGATCTGCGCGCCCAATTGTGAAATTGAAGGAGGGAGCTTACAATCTACTAATACCCAATTTGCATCTGATCACCTCTGTTCACACAATTTCACCTCTTTTTATAGAGACAATAATACAGCCTCTCAATTTGACTGAAAGCACGCGAATACTCCCCCTCCAAAAAGAAGAAAAGAGTCAACAAAATTCATAGAAAGAATGGTATTTTTGTCAAACAATAGCGCGTGCAGTTATTTTTTTTTCTAAGATTAAAGATACCTCTTAAAGTTTTTCAAGTAGTAAAAAGTTACTTTTCTCGTTTTTATTGTAGCAAAATGAAGTAAGGCTATTGTTTTGATTTGGGAGGGGGTTGGAATCCTGGTTGAAGACTTGAATGCAATCTTTCATTATGTTGTTCTATGTCCATGTCGATCTGTCATCAAGTAAACAAAGCCACTGATAAATGAAGACTCCAAAAGTCTCTTGGGTATTCAAGAAGTATTTCGATGGCATAATTTGCGTAGCTTAAAAAGCATCCTTGAAGACATGAATGATCAAATGTAAGTGCTGAGAGAGCCTTTTTTAAAGCACAACAGACTTCAAATCGCTTTTGAACTTTTCATGGCGCCAAAATTTACTTAATTAGGCGTACCAAAGTTTTCATTCTTGAACAGAGGGGGGGGGGGGGGGTGAAATCTGAATTAAGCTTTTGCTAGTGGTCAGAGGGTGCGGGGGTAGTTGGGACATTTCGAGAAAATTTACCGCTCCCAATTTGTTTTCGAAAGTTTCGTGACAACACTACAGTAATTTTGTCACTACCAAAAAAAAGTTAACACTTATCTGAAGTTTCAATCTTTTCAAACCACTCGCAAATCAAAACCATACAAGACACAATGTTAGCAAAGCTTTTCTTCCTCAGCTCAAACGAAGTTTTCAATTGATTTGTTTTAGTTCTTAAGAATGTTTTGCATCAGATTAACTGCCTACTGAAAAACAAATAGTAGAATGATTGGCATTATAGAAACCCCCCCTTTAAGTTCAGAACTCAAAACATAAAATAAATCATGCTAGACTAGCTTTCTAATCTGCTAGGTGCCAATTCGAAGCCAATTTCAGAAAACGGAAATCTTAAATAAATTTCAGTTATTCTGGACCAAACTAGACGTAAATATTTCACGAGCCGTTTTGCTTCAAATGGGTATAAGTTTATCCGTTGTGACAGTTTGACAGATAATTCTATAACTAAAGTTTCCTCTGCTCGAAGAAGTTATGATCTACAGGTAAATGCATGCGCAAAAGTCAAGATTAATCACAATTCAACCGCCCTTATTTACAAATAAACGTCGCCTGAAACATCCCCCACCTTCGCAAAACATCCTGAACATTTCTAAAACTATATTGACTAGGTTAATAAAGAGGAATAAAAATCGATTTGACCTCATTTGGGATTATTTAATATCAATCATGAATTTAAACTAAAGTTGATTATCGTTGTGGATGAAAACAATGAGTGATGTACAGAAAAAGCTCTAGTTTCTCTTATATTTTACTAGTATAAAACAAATCTCCTCACCCGGAGTGAGGAGGGGGGCAATATAAGGCGATAATTGTATTAAGCGAAAATAAAAGTGTAACATTAGGCCAAAAAGATTGAAAAAAGTATAAAGATTTAAAGAAGAAAATTTATTTAATAATAACGATGTCAATTGGTGACTGCATACCAAATAAATTCAATGTGATGCAAATAGCCAATCACCAGAAAAATAGTGACCGCTGCGGTCGCGCCAGTGTTGCGAGCTTGCCAACAGACGTTAGGACTCTATAAAATATTCCAGCGGCGACCTTAGGCCAACGCCCAACTTAGTCCTCTCCGATTGCCAATGCATCTGGTGTTTAGTAGGAGTTTTCTACTAAAATATACATAAATGTTATCTAAGTTTTGCCCTAAATACTAACACTTTTCTATTCCGTTGTATCGCGAAATGGCCAGAACTTTTAAGCATACATTTTCAATAAATAAATAATTTCTGTCATACAACTGCAAATAAACCCATACGAATAAAAAATGTACAGAAATTTTAAATTTTTCTTGCTTTAAAAATTGCATTGAATTTGTTTGACTCGAATTTTTGCTAAATCAAAAAATAATCTTTTCAGTAAATCAAAATATCATTGTTTAAAAGATATAGTTTTACTTGTATCTTGACAATTTGTTTGTAGAAAATATTTTTCTCAAAAAGAAAAATCCTCTATTTAAGTGCAAATATTGTTTCAGATAAACTGCATTTGGGCATTTGCCATCTACGTTATTGAATTTTTTTTGCATACAGCCAGAGGTTTTTGTCAAAAACTCCAGTGGTTGAACATTGTGTGGTTAAAACTCGTTCTACTTTGAAAGATCAATGTTTATTTTTTTCGTAACCTTATTTCACTAAAAAAGTTCGTACTTAGTTTCCTTCAATTGGGCAAAAAATACCGTCTAATTACGTAATTACGTTATGCACAAAAAGATAAGGTATTTCAAGTTATTTTTCCGGGAAAAAATGATTTTAAAAAATTAATGTCTAGAAGAAAATGCATTCAATAATAACAATGTCAATCGGTGGCTGCATACCAAATAAATCCAATATAATATATAAGCAAATAGCCAATCAACAGAAAAAGAGTGACCGCTGCGGTCGCGCCAGAGTGTTGCCAGCTTGTCAGTAGACGGTAAAACTCTATACAATATACCAGCGGCGACCTTGAGCCAACACTCGACTTAGTCCTCTTCGATTGCCAATGCATCTGGAGTTTAGTAGGAGTTTTCTTCTAAAGTATACATAATTGTTATCTAAGTTTTAGCCTAAATATTGACACTTTTCTATTCGCCTAGTATCACGGACTAATCAAAAATTTTAAGCTTACCTTTTCCATAAATAAATAATTTCTGTCATACAACTCCAAATAAATCCATACGTATAAAAATTGTATAGAAACTTTAATTTTTTTTGCTTTACCATTTGCCTTGAAATTGCATGACTCGCATTTTCTACTGAATCAAAATATTTTGTTCACTAAATCAAAAATTCCTAGTTTAAAAGATATATTTTTGCTGATATGTTGACAGTTTGTTTGTGGAAAATGTTTTTCTCAAAAAAGAAAATCCTCTAATTAAGTGCAAATGTTCTTACAGATAAACTGCAATTGCAGCTTTGCCGTCTACGTTAATGTAACCTTTTGTATACGGTGAGAGTTTTTTCGTCAAAAACTCCAGTGGTTGAACATTGTGTGGTTAAAACTCGTTCTATTTTGACAGATCAATATTTATCTTTCTTCACTGAAAAAACTTCATAGTTATTTTCCTTCAATTGGGCAAAAAAGTTCGTCTGCTTTACGTTATACACAAAAATGGAGAAGAAGTTGCAAGTTTTTTTTCCGGAAAATGTTTGCTTAAGCAGAGAAGTGATTTTGCAATTAAATGAAAGCAAAAAATACTTTTTTGTTTGTTTTTTGGATGTTTTTGTTGGAACCCTTTTTGAGGCAAGGTAAAAATGCGTACTAAAATGTTTTAATATATCGAAATTGTATAATAAACGTTTTTTTATGCTCTATTTTTTTCGGAATTGAATGAATTGTTTGATAAGCATTTTTGGTGTTTACAGAGTTTAGCCCGGAAAATTTCCGCCTAATGTATAGAATCCACAGTAGCAGCGTCGGAAAGTGTTAACTTTGTCGTATCGCAGTGCTAAATTGCGTCGGAAAGTGTTACGCGCATCGACAAAACTAAGATTGCAATCGATTATAATCGATTTTTATACAGTTTTTAAACTTGTAAAAAATAGCTTGTATGTAGCTCAACTGGACACTAAAATGGATAATATAGGGATTTTATACAGTTTTTTCAAAGAAAAAAATGATTATATAGGGAGGTGAAGATGTTGATTATTTCTGTTTGTAGCACTGCAAATTTGAAGTTGGGTCGTGGGCTCACTTCAGTCACCAGATTTCCCTCCGACCGAAACTGGACGTGGAGACTGGCCAGATCAGAGCCGCCGACCTGCAGTTCTTCCAGAACAGCTCCATCTTCGAACTGGACAGCTTCACTGTCATGGAGTACACGTACACAGATCCGGAGTTCGGAAACCTACCTTTCAACGGACTCCGCTACACAATCAAATTTCACAGGTAAACTCATTTTTTGTTCCGACCATTGGAAAAGGGGGGGGGGGGGGGGACTTTGTTTTCGGGTGTGTTTTAGTTTTTTTGCTTTTTGTTTTCCACGCAAAATCAGGTACCGCAGATAATCATCGTAATGGATTGAGTGATGTATCATATTAAAGCCCTTTCAGTCGTGATTCGAACCACATTAAAAAATTTCCAAAATTTTTTGTTCTAGCGTCGAGAAAAACCGGTTTGAAACTTTTGATTTTTCGTCTTTATTCGAGCGAACACAGCAAGCGAGCAGGCTTACAACAGCTGAAATATGCCTAATTTAAGACCTTAAAACTCAGTTTTAAGCAAGTAAAACTTGTTTTTGGAGTTTTTTAGTTTCATTTTGGTAATAACTTTTAAAATTTTAAAAAGTTTTTCTAGTAATTATTCTACAAAAATGGTTGTCTAACATGCCTAAAATTTTTTTTACGTCAGACCTTTTATCACACCAAGCAGAAAAAACTACACTAATTTGAAAAAAATTCTAAACCGTAGTTTTCTAAAGACTATGGTCGGAACCTTTTTTTTTCTCTGTCGACTTTTTTTTAGGTCGATTAAAATGATTTTCCGAGCTCTCCCAAAGCACTAAAAATACCCTGTTTTGGCAAAAATTTCTGTGCCGCAAAGAAAATTTTGAAAAACAGGCCAAAAATAGCATTTTTAGGCACTTTTTGGAAAATTTTTACCAAAAAAATCGCGATTTTAGCGCGCGCTCCCCCTTAAAAATTAGTATATATGGGCTCCAAAGCCGCCCTTAGAAAATTTTTAGGTTCGGTTGGCCAAAAATGGATATCTCAAAATAGTACAATGGGCGACCCTTTGGGTCGGCAGGGGGTCGAATCCCTGTGGGGGGGGGGGGGGGGTTTGCTTCCCCGTTACCTTTCTACCTTTCGAAATCCGTCGCTGATCGTAGATTCATTTTCTTTAGTTTTTTGTGAACAAAAATACGTCGTTTTTTGTAATTTAAAATAACTTAGAATTTTTGAATGAACCACTTAAAGATTTAAAGCAAGGCGGCAATTTAAAGCCCGCTGTACGTGATGAAGATTAGATTGTAGAGATAAGAGATAAGATTTGAAGAGATAAGATTTCAAAACCAATTTTTTAACTAACTGAAGACTGTTAGTTTTTTTGAAAACTGATGAGTCATTTCAGATACACAGCCTACTTCGTCATCAATCTAATCATGCCGAGCTTCATGATAAACGTCCTTTGCATCTTCAACTTCATGATCCCCTGCTCCTCGGGAGAAAAAGCGGGATACGGAATCACAGTCTTCCTAGCCCAGTCAGTGAACCTGATGGTGGTGATGGAGATGATGCCGCAAGGCGGAGTCTCAATTCTCGGAATGTTCCTCGCTGTTTCCATCGCTCTGATTGGCTTGTCACTCCTGATGAACATCATCACCCTGAGGGTCTACTCTCCTCAGGACTGCTCGGTTCCCCCCTCGATCCGGTTACGGAAGCTGGGTAAACGTCTGCAGTGTCTGGTCGGACCACGTGACGTCCCACGCGACATAGTGCTTTCTCAGAAGAATTTTTACAAACTTTCAGAAACATTCTTCGACGCCTTATCGGTCGACGACCTGACCTATACCGTGCAACCGGGAGGAGCTTCGGCAACTTACGACGATTTGCTCTCGTCGAACGTTTCGGATCGTCACTTTGTCGCCAACAAATTGTTCGAGAAACAGTTGGAGCCAAGTCTCAATCACGAAAGTCCTCGTTCGGCCAGTTCACCCGAAGAAATAACTCAAACATCCCCCACCATTCCAGTAACCCAACAGAATGGAATTAAACAAAACGCAAGGGTTCGCTACAAAAACGATGACAATTCTTCGGCCGATCGCTACAGACCCAATGTGGACATCAATGATTCGCAAAATGGCATCAAAGCTGTCAGTTCTAACTTGAACAATTTCACGAAGCCGATCATCTCAGAAAGTCGAAAAAGAAATAAAATTTTACTACCTGAAACGGCAAATTTCTTAAGCAACCCAATTGGATCTCCAAGTTTTGGTGCAAAGAAATACTCAGAGTCTGACACTGCTTTGAACGACCGAGCTTTGCTAGAAAGCCTCGAAACAGATCCGACGAAGCCTCGTGTAAACCCTCACAATTACACAGCTGAGTATCAGTTTTTGGCCGAGACGATCAATCGGTTCAACGCGTTCATATTTTCTGCTTTGCTCATGTTGACTTGTGGACTATACTGGATTTATCACGATCCAACAAGTTTTGCTAATAACTACAATAAATGATAAATGAATATGATGGTGACAAAACAAAAATTTGTTGGTTTCGAAAGAGCGTCCGAAAATTGAAAGTGTTTCGTTTCCAATTTGAACGACTCATTAAAATTGAGTATGTCTATGATTGTACAGTACACATAATGAGTTATCTAGGATCCCTAGTAAACAACAAATACAGATATATTTCTAATTTTTCATAAACATAAAACAATTTTGACATGAAATTTTTCTTTGCTAGCTAACATCTTGGTCAAAACGGTTAGCTGTTGTTCTAGAAATTAGTTATTGAGTCAATTAAATTAAGTGTTGAGCTAAAAAACTCATCAAAAAACTTGTACGTTTTATACGTTTTTGAAATCAATATAAGACCAGGGGCGGGTTTAGGAGGGGGGGGCGGGGGGCCGGGTTTGGCGGACGCCCCCCCCCCCCCCTCAGGGATTCGACCCCCTGCCGACCCAAAGGGTCCCCCCTTTGATACTTTTTCAGAAATTCATTTTTGGCCGACCGACCCTAAAATTTTTCTAAAGGCGCCTTGGGCGCCAATATATACTAACTTTGAGGGGGAGCAATCGCCAAAAAAAACGCGATTTTTTTGTAAAATTTTTTCAAAAAAAGTGCCCAATCAAACGGCTTTTTTGATTGTTTTTTCAAAAATTTGCCTTCGGTGCTGAAAATTTAGCCAAAATAGGGGCAAAACAGTGCTTTGGGAGAGTTTGAAAAATCAATTTGGTTGACCTAAAAAAAAAAAAAGGTCGTCAAAATTTTGGAAAATTTTTTGAAAATCCGCCCCCCCCCCTCGAGAAAATCCTAGATCCGCCCCTGTATAAGACCGTTTGTTTGAATTGAAATTGTTCACTGATTAACAAGGGTAATTAAGGTTACAAGGGTTATTAGATACATGAATTAATCATATAATTGCTTCTGAAGAGCTTCAATTTAAACTATGGATTGCACAGTTAGCGACCAATTTTTTTTGGTTTTGATATCCATTGACAGGCGGAATTGAGTGAATTGATAAATTTGTTCACTTTTGCTTTAATTTTTCAAACCAAAAACTGATACCGTTGATTGAAACAGTTTGTCTAATCAGATAAATTTAATTATGTTATTTAAGATTGTGAGACAAGTTCAGCACATTGATCAATATTCGGTACTTTTTTAATTACTTCGATACATTACTGATCGCGTCCAGACAATTCGGCCAAAGACAATTCAGCCGATTTGAAATTCAGACAATTCAGTCAAAAGTATGCAGACAATTCAGCCAGCGACAATTCAGCCAAGAATGGTGACCACCGCAGTCGCGCCAACGTGTTGCAAGTTTTCCAACAGAGGATAAACTTAGAGCCGGTTATAGCGCGCCCACCGGCGACCTTAAACCGAGAAACAACTCCAATTCCGATTTTTTCTTTCGAATCTAGCGTTTTATAAAATTGGCTGAGTTGTCTCAGGCTGAATTGTATTTTATATTTTGAAAAAAAAAAAAAAATTGTATGTGCGCCATTAATGATATGCCGCGCGCAACAGCAGTCATGTAACTTTGTTTGTTAAACTTCTAACCAGAACTGCTACATTTAATTAAGTGTTGAAATAGAAAAAAATGGTGATGAACCAGTTGAACAGCAAAATGATGGTTTTTGGTTGGGTTTGCAATGACAAAACTTTTTCCACTGGGAACAATGTGATGGACAAAATTTCTGAGGTCGAACATTCAGGAGTACAGCTCGACAACCGTCTCGATTTTGAAAAAAATGTGTATATCTTTGAGTTAATATAGCTATAGAAAAGTTATTGGTTCGACTTTCGTAACGCAATTATTGGTGTATTTGTGCTTTTTATACAATTCCTTAAGTATATAAAACTGCATGAAAGGTCTATGATTAGTATTTTTTCATATATAGAAATTATCCGACTAGCATTTTTCCATAAACCAAAAATATTCACTTTTTACATTTTAATTTCTCAAAATTTTTTGGTTGTGTTCGGAACCGAACACAAGTGACATAAACCTTGGTTAATCAAAAGTATTAACCAAAGGTTTGGCCGTCTCGCATTAAAAAGGCATTGCAAACAGCCTGAAACGTTTAAATTCTGTCTCACACAAATAATATAACGAAAGTAACGAACTCAAAGATGATTATTTCTAAAATTTGAATTTTTAAATTACCAGACATTGATCAAGGCATACAGAAACATGTCATACAAAATAGAGAGGAGTTATAAGCGTTTTTGAAAAAAGTTAAGAAGAGAAAAGGAAAAAAAATCCAATATTAGTATCTCCAGGACTACGTTATACACACAAAAAATAAAAGTTTGTTTGAGTACAAAAATCAGATTGCGGTTGAAAAAAAACACAAAAAAAAACAATTTTGGTGGCAATTTCAAAAATACTTTGAAAAAAATTTTCTCGTTGCCATCAAAAAAATGCTAGTCATACATTTTCCATTTATGGAAATTTTATGATTAGCATTTTTTTTGACAAAAAGTTTTGTTTTTTAATAAGTACGATACACACAATTTTACGCCAAAACATGAAAAAAGTTTTTCGAAAAGTCGACGACAACATTTTAGTAAATTGTATGAAATTTGTATGATTAATATTTTTTCATAGACTTAGTTTATGGAATTGTATGAGTAGCATTTTAGGTTTATGGAGGTCATTCCGGGTACAGAGCAGTTTTTAATCAACGTGTGGCCATTTATCGAGAGCAGACTACAGTCTACAGTGCAGTTTTTGGTCGATGTGTGGCTCAACGGGTGGCATCCCTCGAGAGCAGACTACAGCCTACAGTGCAATTTTTGGTCGACGTGTGGCTGGTTATCGAGTGCAGGCTACATTGTACGGAGCAGTTGTGAATCAATGTGCGGCCATTTCTCGAGAGCAAAATAAAGTCTACAGAGCAGTTTTTGGTCGGCGTGTGACTGGTTCCCGAGTGCAGTCTACAGACTACAGAGAATTTTTTAGACCGAGTGTGGCTGGTTCTCGACAGCAGACTAGAGTCTCCAGAGAAGTTTTTGGTCGGCGTGCGGCTTTTTCTCGAGAGCTGACTGCAGTCTCCAGAGCAGTTTTTGGTCGGCGTGTGGCTATTTCTTGAGAGCAGACTATATTCTCCAGAGCAGTTCGGGGTCAGCGTGTGGCCAAATCGCGAGAGCAGTCTACAATCTACAGAGCAGTTTTTAATCTGAATTTGGTTGGTTCTCGAGTGCAGACTACATTCTACAGAGCAGTTTTTGGTTGGCATGTGGCCAGTTCTCGAGTGCAGTCTACAGACTACAGAGAATTTTTTAGACCGAGTGTGGCTGGTTCTCGACAGCAGACTAGAGTCTCCAGAGAAGTTTTTGGTCGGCGTGCGGCTTTTTCTCGAGAGCTGACTACAGTCTCCAGAGCAGTTTTTGGTCGGCGTGTGGCTATTTCTTGAGAGCAGACTATATTCTCCAGAGCAGTTCTGGGTCAGCGTGTGGCCAAATCACGAGAGCAGTCTACAGTCTACAGAGTAGTTTTTGGTCGGAGTGTGGCTGATTCTCGAGAGGAGACTACCGACTCTAGAGCTGTTTTTGGTCGGAGTGTGGCTGGTTCTCGAGAGCAGACTACAATCTCCAGTTCAGTTTTTGGTCCGAGTGTGGCTGGTTCTCGAGAGCAGTTTGCAGTCTACAGAGCAGTTTTTGGTCCGAGTGTGGCTGGTTCTCGAGAGCAGACTAGAGTCTCCAGAGAAGTTTTTGGTCGGCGTGCGGCTTTTTCTCGAAGCTGACTGCAGTCTCCAGAGCAGTTTTTGGTCGGCGTGTGGCTATTTCTTGAGAACAGACTATAGTCTCCAGAGCAGTTCTGGGTCAGCGTGTGGCCAAATCGCGAGAGCAGTTCACAGTCTACAGAGTAGTTTTTGGTCGGAGTGTGGCTGGTTCTCGAGGGCAGACTACAGTCTCCAGAGCAGTTCTGGGTCATCGTGTGTCCAAATCTCGAGAGCAGTCTACAGTCTTCATAGTAGTTTTTGGTCCGAGTGTGGTTGGTTCTCGAGAGCAGTTTACAGTCTACAGAGCAGTTTTTAGTCTGAGTTTGGCTGGTTCTCGAGTGCAGACTACATTCTACAGAGCAGTTTTGGTCGGCGAGTGGCCAGTTCTCGAGTGCAGTCTACAGTCTATAGAGCAAATTTTGGTCTGAGTGTGGCTGGTTCTCGGGAGCCGACTAGAGTCTCCAGAGCAGTTCTGGGTCAGCGTGTGGACAAATCGCGAGAGCAGTCTACAGTCTACAGAATAGTTTTTAGTTCGAGTCTGGCTGGTTCTCGAGAGGAGACTACCGACTCTGTTTTTGGTCGACGTGTGGCTGGTTATCGAGTGCAGGCTACATTCTACAGAGCAGTTATGAATCAATGTGTGGCCATTTCTCGAGAGCAAAATACAGTCTACAGAGCAGTTTTTGGTCGGCGTTTGGCTGGTTCCCGAGTGCAGACTATAGTCTCCAGAGCAGTTCTGGGTCATCTTGTGGCCAAATCGCGAGAGCAGTCTACAGTCTACTGAGTAGCTTTTGGTCGGAGTGCGGCTGGTTCTCGAGAGGAGACTACCGACTCTAGAGCTGTTTTTGGTCGGAGTGTGGCTGGTTCTCGAGAGCAGACTACAGTCTACAGAGCAGTTTTTAGTCTGAGTTTTGTTGGTTCTCGAGAGCAGACTACAATCTCCAGTTCAGTTTTTGGTCGGCGTGTGGCCAGTTCTCGAGAGCAGTTTACAGTCTACAGAGCATTTTTTGGTCGGCGTCTGGCTGGTTGCCGAGTGCAGACTACAGTCTACAGAGCAGTTCTGAATCAATGTGTGGCCATTTCTCGAGAGCAAAATACAGTCTACAGAGCAGTTTTTGGTCGGCGTGTGGCTGGTTCCCGAGTGCAGACTATAGTCTCCAGAGCAGTTCTGGGTCATCTTGTGGCCAAATCGCGAGAGCAGTCTACAGTCTACTGAGTAGTTTTTGGTCGGAGTGCGGCTGGTTCTCGAGAGGAGACTGCCGACTCTAGAGCTTTTTTTGGTCGGCGTGTGGCCAGTTCTCGAGCGCAGTCTATAATCTACAGAGCAGTTTTTAGTCCGAGTGTGACTGGTTCTCGAGAGCAGACTAGAGTCTCCAGAGAAATTTTTGGTCGGCGAGTGTTTTTTTCTCGAGAGCAAACTACAGTCTCCAGGGCGGTTTT